GTCCCCGCAGTGACCGGTCCTCCCCCGCGCGGGGACACCGAGCTCCAGCTCGCTCTGCAGGAGGTGCTCCGCTGGTCGCAGCCCGACGGGGTGACGGTCGAACCCTGGAGGCCCAGCCTGGGCGAGCTGCTGGCCCAGCCGGGGGCTCTGTCGCTGGGCAACCAGTACCTGCTCGCGGCCGTCGCAGCCTTAGCTTCAGCCAGTGTCACCCTGCTGGTGTGGTGAGTGCCCAGGACCCCGAATCCCAGCACCTGGTTCCTTCTTCAGATCTGGGTGTCCAGTCCCCTCTTTTTTCAGACCCAGGGGTTCAGGCCCCCAGCCCCTCCTCCCCAGACCCAGGAGTCCAGGTCCCCAGTCCCTCCTCCCTCACACCCAGGGGTCCAGGCCCCCAGCCCCTCCTCCCTCACACCCAGGAGTCCGGTCCCTGTCCACCTTTGGGACTCAGACTGTTTATCTGCTCCCCAACTTCTCTCCCACACACAACTGCCTCCTTACTTCCCCAGGGCGTTCTTTCGATGGTACTTAAGAGGCAACTAACAAAGGTATCTTTGTTCCTTACCCTATTTCTGTCTCTAAAATAAAGTATATATTTCAGTTCTACAAATGCTTTCATCTTTGAAGGTGGTCACTTCCAGTTTAGGTAGGAGGGGTTGGCAGCGTACCCCAAATATGCCTCCACGATGACAGTAAGAGCCCTCACGGGGCAGGCCCTGTGTTGAGGGATTTAGGTGCAAGCCCAGACCCCCCCCAGGTTTCTGGCAGCCCCTTTGACATTTCCAACTGCAGAAGACACCCTCATCATGATTCTTCTCACCCCTCCAGGACCTGCGTACATGCTGGAAAATAATGTTTTCTCCCTTTTTTTGTCCAGTTAACTCATTTATGATTTCCCCTGTAGAGCCTTTACGTGTACAGTAAAACCTCTATATAAGGGACTAATTCAGGTGAGGGTGTGTCCGTTAAAGCCGAAAGTCTGTTATATAATAAAGTAGGTTTTCCAAATGTGTATATTAAAAAACTGACAAATTAGTTTAGCTGTTTCTACTTATGTAGACACATTTGTGTAATTAAAATTCAGTATGTATGAAAAGCTTAATTTCACAGAAAAGTTTTCTACATGTATCACTGTAATTTTAAATTTAAATTGGGTAGGTCTATTAAGTGTGTGCATTCACCAGCCACTGAGAGTAAACAAATGCACACGGCCGAGGCAGGGCTTGGCACACGTGGGAACGCCGGTGGGCACCTGTTAGAACTGCTTCAGAAAGTCAGGCCACTCAACAGCACAGCCAGCTACGGGGATGAAGTGGTGTGATCACCTGCTAATGGTCCCCCCCACACACCCTGAACATTGTTTACCAGCGATGACTCTTGCATTTAAATATGTGGACTATAGTTGTAGATATGTAATGTTTATGTCGGTGAAATTATGACAGTGTTTTTCCCAACATGACCAATTTGATAAAGTTTGTTAAAAGTAACAGTGAATTAATAACAACAAAAACTGTTAATTTAATTATAAGCAAATATTGATTAGAAGCATTTTAAAATTAACAGGGTGTTAATTTTCACTTACGACATACAGGCTGGAAATTCTGTCCCTTAAACCCAAAGTCCTTTAAATTGAGAATTTATTGTATTAACACATTTAATTCCCATGACAACTCTGTGCAGCCAGCACTGAATTTATTGGCCTGATTCCATCTCCCTCTCCTCCCCCTCTACTGTCTAGCCCTCCTGGCCTGTTTTTGTCCCTTGAACATGCAAAGCTCAGTCTCACCTGTGGGCTTTGCATGCGCTTTTATTTGTACTTACAATGACTCTGCCTCACTGCACAGGTCCCAGCCCATCCCCCTGTGAGTTAGCTCATGCATAGCACTCACTTGGAGCTGATGTAAACTTACTTTTTTATTTGGTTTTGTGCCTTCCCCACCTAAAAGATAAGCCTCTCTCATTCTCACTCACTGACGTGTTCAGTCTCTCAGCGGGTATTTACTGAGTGCTTGCTTACTATGTGCCAGGCATTTTCAAGGTGCTGTCGAGGCAGCAAAGAAGAAACCAGAACAGATGGAAATCTGCACCCTCATGGAGTTTAGACACCAGTGGACAAACAGTAAACGAGAAAATTAAGCAGAATAACATATGCCTTAAGTCATATAATTATATGTGTGATGGAGAAAACAAAGCTGGGAAACTGAGATAGGAAAGGTTAGGGGGAGGGAGGGAGCAAGAGGAGCTTTGGAGAAAGCTTCACATTTAAATAAATAAGGGGCCCTGGCCCATTGGCTTAGTTGGTTGGACACTGTTCTGTGCACCAAAGGGTTTCCAGCTCCATCCCCAGTCCAAGATGTGCAGGAGGCAGCCAATCAATGTTTCATTCTCATGTTGATGTTTCTTTCCCTTCCCCTCTCTCTCTAAAAAAAGATAGTGAGGTGTGAGCCATGTAGGTATTTGTGTTGTGTTCCAGCAAAAGAAACAGCAGAAGCAAAAGCTCTGAGGCAGGAG